GATAGTAAGATTTAATGAACAAGAAAATAAAATAGGGTTTAGGGTATGTACCTAAATAAGTCGATTCATAACTACACATTCAGTATTCTAAAAAGATTATTATTCGATTTAAAATAGCCGTTTACTTCGTTTTTGTATTAAATTATGGTCCGCGATTTAACTGCCAAAATCATATACCACGTCCTTCTCATATATTTAAGGTGGTGGCAAAGTACTAATATGATAGAGATAAGAGGTGCAACGCGTTTTTTAGTGGGTACAACATTTGGGGTATGTGGAAGTCCTACCACTTGCCGATCCGGTGTGGCACAGAATGCATAAAGGATTTTCTCAACGTATAAAAGGTGACCTTCAGCTACCGACTGCGGTCCAAACCAGAGGTTTGAACCAGGGTCCATCTGAGGAGCTCTATTAGTCACGTTAATCTTCAAAATATGATAAATATAAAGAAATGAAGAATGGTAAATATAAATATAAAGAATAGCGTATACGAAAGAAATATAATAACTTCTTTCATATACGCCGATCATTTTTGATCGAAATATTTTTTAAGGATTTTCAGAATTTGCCTTTTAAACTCCCAACATCTCTTACACTTTACGATCATGGTCAGACGGAGTTCTTTTCCCCCTGATTTAGCAGTTCTAACAGGCGGCGTGCCATTTCATCACCGGCATAATTGCTTAGCAATTATATCTGCGATGTGCTATTGCGAAAATAATTGCAGATGGAGTGATTAGCTTGTGAAAACCAAAGTGCCTATTGAACATATGCGGCAATCGAATTTTGAAACGACCTTACGAAACTAAACGCATGAACTAATTTACCGTCATTTTTGGAATGATTTCTACTAATTAAAGATAGTAATATTAATAAATAACTTAGTGTACTAATTGGCAGCAAAAAGTTACAATATCAAAATCCGGTTTGAAGTCGAAAGTATGAAGAAACAACGGTAATCATAGTTTCTTCATATTTAAATAATAATACGAAAACAATTAGTTAAAAAGCTCAAACAATAACTCACTTTGTAATATAATGTTGCCATATTTATTGCAATAGTTATGACAGCATTAACATCGCACGGCAGACTAATGCAGCAATTATGCTGTAGACGAGATGGCAGCGGAGCACGGAGTAATGTTTTACGCATTTCTCCCTACCACTGTGAACTGGTGTTGACACAGGCGAAAGGATATGTTGCCAACTACAACAAAACCTTTAAAAAGGTGGAAGTCAAAAAACTTTTTACAGAGGGACTTAAGTAGAGGACTGCTGAAAGGTGGAGTACCCGCGTAGGTCATAATAAAGGAAGAAAATGAAACGTGTTATCTCAACCAAATTATAGACATCGTAGAAGCCCGTTTTATAATAAGTGCCATTTTATAATAAGTAGACAGAGATAATGGATTTCCAGACGACGAAATATAAAAATAAACAAATAACATTGTTATTTTATTCTAAATTACTAGTATGACCAAAATTCGACCAGGAGGATATATTTATGATCACATAAGTAATAGACATAGTAATAAATGTCGCCTTTTCAAACATTTGGACTTAATAAAGTTTGACAAAGAATTCAAAATATCAGATCAACAGAATGAGTCAGAGAAAATTATTTGAATTTCTTAAAATAATTGAATTACTTTCGAATTTTTTTCGGTATTAATTGCTAAGATAGCCCGTTATAAGGCGAAAGAAATTTATAGGTCTCACCACGTTTCATTTTATTATTAATTTCTAACGATAACGTTAATTAACCATGTCACGTTAATCCGAACAACAATCGGTTGAATATTTTACATTGCAACGTTTTTCTTTAAATGCGAAGATTTGGGACGCGCGAGCGAATATCCTGATAGTTGGATTACACTGGCAACACTGGCCTGGTGAACATGTCAAATTTGTAGCTCCGTATATTTTAAGTTTAAATTAAGTAAATTATATTATTTAATTATTTCCAAATCGTAGTAAATTACTTAGGTGTATATAATAAAGAAAAATAAGTGATAATATAGTGCACTACGGAAGGAAAGTCGTAAAAACTGAAGTCAACTTGGAGCTGTCACTGGCCCAACCGCCGAATTTTCAAAATTCTACCACTCATTCCCGGGGAGTATCTTATATATTATATCCTTCTTCTTGGATCTAAATATAACTACAACATTACATACTACTAAACAAAACTCACATCTAGTGAGTAACGTCACTTCAACACATTTTGGCACCGTTACTGTCTCACTTAGAGCCGTGATAGCTCAGTGTCCGTGGCGCTCGCCTTTAATTCAATATATACTCGAGCAACCTGAGTTCGATCCCCGGTGCCGGCACCAATGGAGTTTTTTAACTTTAAGTGCTGAATTATCACGTGCTCCGCGGTGAAGAAAAACATCGTGAGGAAACCTGCATATTTTCGAAATAATAACAAAAAAAATGTATTTCGAAAATATGTGAAGTCCGCCAATCCGCAGTGGGGCCGCGTGGTGGACTATGCTCTGATACCCTCTGTATAGAGGAGGCCGTTGCCCAGCAGTGGGACATGTATAGGCTGTTACTTTACTACTGTCTCACTTTGCTTGACAAGTTGGAAGTGAAGTTGATGATAAAAACATTTGCCACAGACATCCTTACTCAAACTGACTTCACACAAATACTTCTACAGATTTAACATATATAAAACCAAAACTTAATTATAACATTCACATTAATAACTTTATAAACATTAGTACTCTTAGGGTAGTTTAATATTTCATAAATTATTTAGAAACAGCAATATTTCTTAAATATAATACAAATTATAATAAGTAATAGCTGAACATTCATCTTAAAACAGTTATTTTGTAATAATTAAATAAATATTTAATCTCCTTGCTAAATTTTGCTAACTTTCTCTTGTGTCTCTTTTTTGTAATCTAATTATTAAAGCTTACATCTTCTCTTATTATTTTCTTACTTAACTTTCTCCCCATAAGATTCTCATAATCTCAGATTCCTCTCTGTTAATCTTACAGAATATTAGCAATGGAGAAAGTAATGCTCACCCGCAAAGCTGCTGCTAAGGATCTTGAATATAAATTAAGAAATACATTACAAGAACTGAAAACTTCTCAAGACCTTTGCAAACAGCTGATGCAAGAGCGTGAAGAAAGCGAGGAGGAAATTCAGGTCATTATTAAAAAAAATACTGAATTAAAATGTGAACTCGCCGAACTTCATAAAAGTTATATGGACATAGTGGCACAGCGGGATGAGTTGGGGTTGATGACTGGGTCCCAGATGAAAATAGGAGTCCCACAAGGATCAATCTTGGGCCCATTATTATTTTTAGTATATATTAATGATCTCCCCTTTTATGCCAGTGGGTTGTGTGATGTTGTACTGTTTGCTGACGATACATCGCTTATTTTTAAAGTTGACCGAAACGTATTAAATTATGACGACGTGAATAGTGCACTTTCACATATCCTCCACTGGTTTACTATTAATAATATGGTATTAAATGCCAAAAAAACCAGATGTTTCTTTTTACCCTTCCCAGTATAAGAAGGAAAAGTTTTAGTTTAATATTAAATAACGTACCCATTAATCCAGCTGAGTCTGCTGTATTTCTGGGAATTACAGTAGATTCAAAGCTCCAGTGGAGTCCCCATATATCATCTCTTGCGAATAGGCTGAGCTCCGCGGTTTTTGCGATTAGAAGGGTTAGGCAGCTAAAAGACATCGACACTGCCAGACTTGTTTTACTTTAGTTATTTTCACAGCATCTTGTCGTACGGCATTTTGTTGTGGGGTAGTGCATCAGATATAAATTCTATATTTATTCTTCAAAAAAGAGCTGTCCGAGCAATCTACAATATCGGAGCCCGGAATTCACTCAGAGATCTTTTCAAAGAGGTTAATATACTCACTGTTGCTTCTCAATACATTTATTGTAATGTTTGTATATACGTCATAACCTTAATTATTACCTAAAGAATAGTGACAGACATAAAATAAACAGTAGAAATAAGGACAAACTTACTACGCCATTGTTTCGTCCACAAAAAGTAAATAAGTCGTTCATGGGGCAAAGTGTACGCATGTATAATAAAATCCCACAGTCGATATTAAGTCTGCCGCTTGACCAATTTAAATGTAAAATTAAAAATCAACTGATGATTAAAGCATATTATACCATTTCGGAATATCTCGACGACGCCAATGTGTGGAGTTAATACTGTTGATACTCACGTAGGCTAGAATAAGACTATTATACCTGTATATTATATTGTACCCTGATATTTTTGAAAAAGAAAGTTGAGTTTCTTGCCGGTCTCTTCTCAACAGAAACCGCTTTCCGAACCGGTGGTACCTTACGAACCTATTAGCGTCTATTTGAATAAATATATTTTTGATTTTGATTTTAGTACCATCGTCAGTAATAACGTCACGACGTGCATTTGCAACACCGATTCTTTATTGCTGGACATTTAAGCTGTGACGTCATAAACGCGTCGCCAAACTTAAACACAGTTGGTAACCGGTAAGTTTTCACTCAACGAAAGAACAAACACGTCTATTTCTCGCCGGTCTTATAACTTCAAGGTCGAGTTGAAACGAGAGCCTGATCTTAGTTCTATCAATTAATATGAGTCGTGAACTTTATAATGAACGAAATAACAAACACCAAATCTAAATATTCATTTCGACAGTCTAAGAAGTTTCAGAACACAATTAAAAACGTTGAGATTGTCCCAAAAGTTTATGCACAAAATCTTAACACTTTAATCCCACTTACTAACTTAATGTTAATAGTACACAGTTTTTTATTATCCACTGCACTTTTTGTTATCTTTATTATCAGTATTAAAGCTAAGTTTCTTTGCATAATTTTTCTTAGACTGCAAATGCTGTACCTTATGTTGGTAATCCAATAAATAAATAAATAAATAAATATTTTGTCCACCAGCGTCTCGACGTCTTGCAGTTGACGAAATCTACAAAGGAAACTAGACTCACCTGTGTCTCACTCTGCTGTTGATGTGCCGAACCTCCCTACCGCCGCTGCTCTCACCGTCGCTGCCAGAGCCTGCCACCTCCATTGTGTGAGTGGACATCGATTTGTTCACCTACGACATATATAAAGACATCATCTCTCATGTTATAGCTACTAGACACGTGTCGTACTGTTGGGACCTTTAATACAGAGGTTAATATGGCATGATCTTACCATATGTAGGTCGCTTAGATATAAATTCCACCACGCAGCAATCTCGGCTGTTGCACGAATTGGCGGGCTCGTCCGGGTAAGTACCACGACGTCACAGAAGACCGGCGTAAAGTGGAAGTATAATACTTTCGCGTTTCGTCTGGTGAGTGAGATAGACGGAGCCCAATTTTCAAAAGGTTGTCAACACATCTGGAACCCTTCCAGTAACTAAAGGGTATTAGATGTCCATGGGCGTCGGTATTTACTTAAAATCAGGTGAACCGTCTGCTCGTTTGGCAACTTTTCACATAAAAAAAAGAAAAATTAATGCGTAAAGTTGTCGTTTGTTCGTATAACCCAATGGCAAAATTTAGAAATGCATAGTTGGTGGGAGACAAAAGTGTTTGTACGGCGCGAACGAGGGGGCAATACTACACTGTACCGCCATTCCCAACGAATGATTCCATATCCTTACAATAAAAATATTGATATCATTTCTATCCCATTTGGCTGTAAACCTGTCACAAGAAAATCAAAGATAAAAAGAAACTTGATTTATTTGACTAATTATGTTTGTAATTAAGAGGATCTCTACAACGGCACGTCATTGGAGAGCTTTGAGACGATATAAATATGCCTAGAGAACCACTGGGCAGTGGCTGGTATTAGCAGTCTTCGCTGTTGCAAAAATGGGCATGTCCGTCACAGAAGACCGGCGTGAAGCGGAAGTGTCATACTACTGCGTTTCGCCTGGTGAGTGAGTCAGCCGGGGCCCACTTTATTAAAAGGTGGCAACCTAGACGCATTTGAAAACATCTTGCAACACCCATAGGGTTTTAGATGCAACCCTACGGGTGTTGGAATGAACCACCAGCTCGCTTACCACCTTTTCACACAAAAAAAGTCAATCTGAGGCCAGACTCTTTTGACTCCGTTTATTGTTAGTTTTTAATTTGGGATTTTAGTCCTATTTAGTTACTTAGCCATGCTGCCATGCCTCCTTTTGCACTTGAACATGTAATTTCATGAAGAAATAAGCTCTCGTGTTTTAACCCGAACAAGGTAGACAGTTATCAACGTTTACCCTAAGCTTATTTTGTACTAAATTCAGAGGACACGCTTATACAAGGTCTTTTTCAAGTTTCTGCAAGAAAACAAAAGATTTCGATACGCAATTTAAACGCTTTGGCTGCGAGACCACTGGGATTCGAACCCAAATTCCAGCTACTGCCATCGCAGCCTTAACAATTTATCAACTCACCGGCGGTATGTACTTCCGCACGGCAGCCGTCAGCTCCTCCAAGCTCTTCTCCTTCTTCCCCGTATCCAGCCCGAAGAACCTGTTCTTGGCGGCCTGGTTCAGAGCGGTTATCTTCAAAACGGGGGCGGGTTGCTCTCGGCTCTCTACTTGGTTGGCGGTCTTCTCTACGGGGCGCCTCAGCTTGCCAAGCTGTATCGACGCGTCCGGTACTTTCGCTAACCTTCTGCACCTAGCGTTGTCGTCCCCATCTTCTACCTGCCTCCTGCCAAGCTTGCCAAGCAGTGGCAGCTTCCCGTCTACACCCTTTTGGCTCAGCCGCTCTTTGAATTCGTTCGCAGCGGGGAGTTGTATTTTGCGGGGGTACTGCTCGTGTAACGTCCTCGCGAGGTCTGAATCCGTCCGGGAGGGCTTCAGTTTGTTGCCCTTCCTCTGGAAGCGTCTCGGCTTCGGATCGGGGGCGTCCTCGGAACTATCCGATGAGGAGCAGCTCTTCTCTGACGAAGAGACGCTGGACGCCGATGCAGATTCCTCCTCCGACGAGCTGTCGATGCCCTCGTCTTTCAAGCCCTGGAAATAGAAAGATAGCGTCAGTAACAAATTCTATTCGTGTAGTGTCGCGTCTTGTTCATACGGTAAGTACCACGACCTCACAGAAGACCAGCGTAAAGTGGAAGTATGACAAATACTTTCGCGTTTCGTCTGGTGAGTGAGGTGACCGGAGCCCAAATTTCAAAAGCTTGTCAACGCATCTGTAACCCTCGGGTGTAGCAGATGTCCATGGGCGGCGGTATTCACTTACCATCAGGTGAACCGTCTGCTCGTTTATCAACTTTTCACATAAAAAAAACCTTAAATCCGATGCTACCGTACGCAGAGACATGGTCAAAAAAGATACGGAACAAGTGTAAAAAAACAAACCTCCGAGCTTTCGCCTTTAGCGAGAGTCTTAGGGACGACTGTTGATCCGGACTTCAATATTCCACGCACCTCCGGGGTGATCATCCTCTGAGCGCGATCTGATGGCAATTTATCATCCAGGTCTGCAAGAGATCAATAGTATTCGTATTACATAAAATATGAACGTACTAACGATGTAGTTGATGTTAAATACAAAATGAAACTGTTATCAGATGAAATATAATGGTGTGATACCGAAGTAAATTTGATTCCATAATTCTTGTGGATCGAATTGGCAAAATAACTCTGCTGTCGCAACTTTAACTACCAAAGACGTAGTGCCTAAATTCCTTGCGAATATAAGTTAAAGTCTATCTAACAAATCTTTTAAATAATACTTTATTACTTAATACTATATTTGGAGAAGTTTTTTCAGCTATTAAGCGTTAAATTTTAATATGATGAACTATGATGATGAACACGATGTGGCTGATATTTAAAGGTTAATGTTAAATTCACTGCAAAAATACGCGTTATACTAGCACCACAACGACATCAAGTTCCATACAATGTACACTCTAAAATACTTAAAATGTTCGCAGCTAGCTCAATTGGGTATTTGCAAAGAATTTGCTTGTTCTATTTATGGATGTTTACAAAGATCGTTGGCACTCTTCTAAGGCGATATAAATATGTATTTGGAAGTCCATAAATATGTTTAAGAACAATAATTTGTGTGATGGTTATAAATGATAATAGGAATCCCATGGACGCGATGTACAGCTACGAATGACTAAGTATCGAGCTCTGAAAATAAATATGCGATTAATAAAGCACTCGCTGTTATTGCGAGTTGCGTGATTTATATCCTTGTACCATTAGTATTAAGGCACAATTTGAAGTACAAAAGGTACCAAACTTTTCCTAGTACTGAAACAGTGACGCAGTGGTTAATGTTATACCCGTACTTTTCGTGCCAAAGGTAATTAGACAAAGGATCCTTTCAAACTAACTACATTATACGTAACAATAGTAAATTAAAAAGAGTGAATTAGTTTCGTGTTCAGTGTGATTCACCCGTTTAGACGTTTAGTAAGCGAATAAAGGATTAATACCAAATGAAACCAGATATCACTTACAGGGTATTAGTCCTACAAATCAAACCTCAATCGTTAATATAAAAAGAAACACATTTGGATTTAATAAAACAACAAATCACACGATAAACCTTCGACGGTGTTAAATCGTTAATATCTAAATACCTAAACGAAGCCTGTGCATTACTGTGCTCTTACCGTGCATCATGCGTAGCGTAAAAATCACTCACCTCCGCGGCCCTATCGATTAGGACATCCGCGCTGGCGTGTTAAATTAGTTCTAAAAAGGGGGATAACCGCAAACGGAATGCAAAACAAAGCGCAACCTCAAGCGGGCGAAACGTCAAAAAAGAAAAAAAAACCCCAAAAAAAAAAACAAAACGTGACCAGACCTAGGCTCCTAAACTTTGAGTCGTTGCGCACGAGAAACTCTAGCGACGTGTTCCGCGCGCTCGCCGATCGGAACAGCTCCATCTTCAGTTGGAAGTCGCCGTCGAGGGGGGGTCGGGTCGTCTCCTCGGCGTTGAGCGATCTCGACAGGCGCTCGTTCTGCTGGATCGCCTGCTGCACTTGGCTGGCTAGCACGGGCGCCGTACGCATGCGCGCCCTCTGCCGGCAGCTCGGCACGGCGCCGGCTGGCGGTTTGTGCTTCAGACGCGCGTCGAACATCCGCATCTTGTCGGCGAGCGACATCTTCGCCGGGTCGTCCTCGTCTAGCTTGGCTGCCGGGCGCGGTGCGCGCGTGTGCGTTCAGTATTTACATGTGTGCGTTGTTTACAGAGTACCGGCGGTACACAGAGTGGGGGCGACATGCAAAGAGAGAGAGCAAGCTGACGATCGGTGCGGTCCGCCGCCCGCGGATGCGACAAGTGTAGTGTTCGACTATATTACTCTATTGGCTATGGATTCGTTTGAAATAAATAATAGAAATAATAAGAAAGGATATGTAATACGGACGTGACTCACCATCCTCGTCCCTGTCTAGCACGTTCGCTGTGCTTTTGGATTGAGCGAGAGGCAAGCGTTCCTCGGCGGGCTCGACGGCGCTTTCCGATTGGAGGATGGGTTGTGTTTTAAACCGGTCCACCACGGAGGGAACCTCTTTTAGCTTGGAGCGACTGTGACGGATCAGGGGCCTTGGAGTGCCTGAAAGTTAAAGAAAAGTAATGTGTCAAAAGAAATTAACTAGATACAAAATTGTTTACGTAGACCATATGTGTAATATGCATAATAGTAAGCACTTGGACCACCAAAGAAGGTTTTTCTAATTAAACTGCATATTTCTTCACCTTGGTGAAGAAATATGCAGTTTAATTAGAAAAACATGCCTATACTCATAGTATAAAGAAAGTATAAAACATAGTATTCTTTATTTAAAATTATTATTTGAAATAAACACAACCATTAATTAAATTCTCCGTAGTTGGGATAAGCGAAGAATTCTTACGTTAACCTATGACAGTAGATCTATTCTAAGAAACCATAAACGACAAAACTGTAATCGTTTTCACTTTATACTTTTTTAGAATAATATTGAACAGAAAAATTATAAACAAAAAAATAAATGTTTTATCGTTTTCGAAGCTGACCGACCATGTAAGGTTCTGATTTACGGATATTTCGTAACTGTTGGATAGTATTGCAATACTAGAAAATTATGTCACATTTGCATTAACATTCTGAAAATGTAATAAATTTTCAGCTGTCGTCAGATAATTTAGCTCAAAATATGCTCGTGTAGGAAATACACCAATCAGTAATGAATTTTGATAATTAGTGTCAGATTTGACAGACAAGTGAATCATCGCACCTTTTTTACATTACGATCGGTTAGTGTACGTATCGAATTTGAAATATCCTTCGTGCTTGTTAAATGTATAAGAAAACTTTTAAGTTAATCCATGCTTTAAGCAATTTTTGATTGTACACGTGACAGTAGTATAGTCTTTACTTGTATGGTTGTCAAAGTGGATACTGATATTGATTTAAGTGAAAACACCAACGGTCTTTAATCGTACACTAAAAGAAAGAGTCCTTTGCTATCCGAAAGGGAAACAATCAACTTCGGTTCCGCGAGAATGGGTTCTTTTCTCACGTCGATTCTGACTTACGGATTTGGATCTTGTTGATTTTTGAACTATAATTCTTTTTTACTTGTCCCGTGTGGAAATCGAACCCACGAACGCCGGCGCCGTGGCCCATACAAAAGAATGTGTATAACACTCTCACATTATGCTATTAAACTATACAGTTTTTAGATATGTATACAGCGTGTCGTTACCATCGCGACAATAAATGAACTCACGTCTAACGCTACGTGCCAATAATCATAAAAAAACATTAACGTAAAAAAAATCCATGAAAAAAAATTTTTTTCAAATAAACTAATTAAGTCAAAAATAAACAAAATTTGTAACACCTATACAAACAAAAACTAACTGATTCATACATTCAGAGACTTTTTCAATCGTTACCACGTCGCATTACCAGCCTCACCTTCTAACAGTATGTTTTGTCTCTTTTAAATTCATTCAACCCATTCATATGCTTTGTGACCTTTACAAATGAACTTTACGTTACAGTTTTATACGTAAGGGTGTTCTAAAATTCTTTGTTTTAGAAAATTTTATAACTCTGTAAATATTGATGTTTAAAAATGTAAATGTTTAGTAAAATTTTAAAAAGTTATCTTCTATATGTGTGTTCATTTATTGTCGCGATTGTAAAGACACGCCATATACATATACATATTATCTACAATTTCAGACATTGACGAGTTCAACACCACGCGCTGTAAGCAAGTCAAATATGTTCGAAATAGTTTATCGTCATACTTATTAACAATGCATCTGGGACAGTTATTGACACACATTACATACCTTTAGCTTGCTGTTGCAATTGCTGCCACATGCTAGCGCGTGCCACAACGCTGTTGCTCTTCACTAGGCCGAGAGCGAAACCGCTGTGGTCATCTCCTCCCTCCTCGTCGCTTCCCCTCCCCTCGGGACTCCCTAGGGCCTCGTTCTCCGTCGACTTCCTCTCTCTGTCCATCGCGATGAGTTCCCGCTCTATGGACGTCGACGACCAGTCGTTACTGCTGCTGTTCGTAGTGTGGTCCTCCCTAATCTCTTGGCCCTCGATCAGGCCCAATTCCTCGCCTGGAAAACGACACGGCGCAAACTCAACGGAAATATTGAACGCGCACCGAAAATATATGACCCGAAACACTCGGTGGCATTGTATCAACACCGCCTACCGTGCTCGGCGAACGCTTCGGAACGTGACGGATGCGATACCAGTTCGTGCATTCGATATAGATAAAGAGATTGGAGAGAAAAAAAGAGTCAACTGCAACCGGCTGACAATGACTGGGTATTACATTGACCCAAATTTAAAGGACAGAGACACCGGCAAGGTTGGACGCGGTTTATTTTCAAAACCGTCCTAATATGAGCGTGGCGGCGTTCACATAATCTAAATTTAACAAGCGCAACATAAACAAACACAAGTAAATGCACGCCGGCCCGCCCCGATTGCTTACACATGTTTACTGCACGACTTTGTAACGGTTAGTTTTGATCGCGCGGCTCGCTAAATAAGTCAAAAGTTGTTTGCGCCGCACATAGCCGTTCCGCGCGGCCGTGTCGATAAAAATAAATTTAATAACCATACGGAACGGGCCAAGTGCCGTACGCGACGATGATTAGCAATGATTCCCGTGAAACACTAACCGGAGTGCGGCCCAGAGTCCCTGGAGGATGCTCTATTGTACACTCCACTGTCACAAGACACATTTAGGCTCCAGTTGTCCGCCTCTTGTTGTCTGTCGTCCTCCTCCAACGCTCTGCTGTCCTCGTCTAACGCCACACGGACCTTGTTCACCGCCTGCTCTATTTCCTCTAGGGACTGCTGCGCTTCGGGACTCTTGTCCGTGCACTCGAAATCGAGGAAAGTGGCTTCGCCGTAGCGATCCTCTCGGCTGGCGGCACGCTCCGGCGATTCGATGTCCGTGGGCAGCTTGACTTTGAAGAGGTTGTCGCCAAACGGAGGCGAGTCTAGGTCTGCGAAGGGCACTCTCTCGGCTTCGCCCACGTAGCCCTTAGGCGGAACAGCAGCACCGGCCTCGGCGGCACGACTCGGAAAACTACAGCCCGCTGGGCCGTACGCTTGGAAACTCACTTGGCCCGGCTCCAAGCTGCGAAATGAGAAAAGAAACGCGTTAATGTGGAACACAGCCGTGCGCACGAAAGAGACGGCCGCGGTTTGCGACCGGCTTCTTGTGTTCCAATGAGTTATGGCACGAGTGATCTGCCCCGGCGTACAGCCGATTAATCGATTTTTCACGATTGACACAACTCGCCCACGGGCAAATCGCCCAGAAATAATCGATTCTTCATCAATCACAATGAAACAAGTTATTTTATATTTAAGTTTTCAGAACGTAGGAAGACACACCGAGAGTAACCAACGCGAATTTTAACATGACGACTCGTTCAATAAATCCAATTACTTTATTCAAAATAATAATATTTCCATATTATGAGTTAAAATCAAGTTAACTGGTAAAACATATAAATCCCTGCGAACGAACAAACTTTTCGATCAACGAACTGAGTAAGGATGATGTGCTGCTACATGGTCTAGTTGTAGCACTCCAAAAGCGTGTTGTATAGTACAAGTGATCCAGAAATAGTGCTTGACCCAGTAACTGGACTGGAGCGCTTATTTCCGTCATCAAGACGCCGAGCGGCAACAAGTAACCGGCAGCAGTAACTAATGTTAACATACATAGCTGATTAATTACGCGAAAATAAACCATGCCACGAAATCCTCAAAAAAATATAATGTAACTCGAGGTATTGAGACGAAAAAGCGTTATTGCAAACAAATACAAGGAAGTTAATGTAGCGAATATTAAATGTAAGGTATATAGCAATTGAAACGTAATTGTAATTTTTTATGATCTTTTTTTAAATCTCATATGATACAATTTTCGAAAAAACTAGTTTTTTTTTTTTCAATTTTATATAAACATAGGTGAATTCGAAATTTATAAATCGAAAATGAATATGAGGTACTAACAGAGTATCATATTTTTATTGCATTCATATCCATGGTGTATTGCAATTTCATTTTAAACCATCTCGAAAAAAAACCAAATATCGCATCTCTCATGAAAATAAGTACGTAGATCATAAACAAATTTGAAAATTTGATAAACGTAATAATAATAATATATAATGCTAAAGTATTATTTTACATTTTACAAATTATGAGGTTTCATTTCGTGTTAATGGATACATGTGAAGCATTCGTGTTACTTACAATTCAGTAAAAGGAAACTTCAAGTCGAAATTATCCATTACGATTTTTCTCTATTATTTTTTACTTGCACTAAAGGACTAAGGATGCACAACACTGAAACACTGCACGACCCAAATTTAATTCTTACGCTATCAGTAGACCGAAATGATTCAAACGGCAAACTGAACCAATGGAGATGATGTCAGACACGAAAACACGAAATTAGCACAAAGCGTTCACTGATTTTACGATTTGATAATGAAAAAACACTAAAACAACAATTTTTGCAAGATCGAAAATGAATGTTTTCAACACTGGAGGAACATAACACTGTAACACTTTGAAGGTGTTAAAACATCTCAAAATCAAATTCTTTCAAACATTAGTAGGCGCCATAAATATTTAAGGCCGAGCCCACAAAGAAATACAACATGGAACGCGTCTTATCTTGTCTAGTCCATGGTTTGGCACTAAAAGTGGATTCATATTATTCTTTTCTTAGCATCGCTGACTAATGTTCCGGTGACATTTTCAGGTGGAAGAAAAGCCACTTCAAACACACGAATGACAGCTAACCACAAAATTACTGACAAAAACTGGCTCAGGAAAGTTTGTAGGTTGCAATTATTAAAGACATTAAACTCGTTACAATAAACAACGGCGGAGGTGGGCAGAGCCTCAGCATTGCAAATAAACTCGATATCTGCACAACGAGTTTTTGTTCATCAAAATAATGGCTGAATGCCAAGACACGCGTCCAAATATCTAACAACATGAGGCACAAAGCCGATCAGCTGCACATGTGAGAATCAACATTAGGGAACATTATTCGAGCGTAATGAAATATGACTCAGTCTCAGCAAAAAAATAAATTACGCACTGGCGAAACAACAATAAAGGATTTCGCCCGATAAAAGGAAACTACACAGAAGACGTGTGGAAGAGCAATGTGGTGTATTTCTAAGAAAAACCGCAAACGGGGTCACTTCCAAAGGCAGCAAATATTAACTAAAAGCAAAACTTCTGCAATATACATGCGTAATTATTTGTATTGTAATAAATTTAGATTACATCTGTTCCAATATATAGAAGGTATGGTTACATGCGGTAGACAATATTATGTTCGATAAGATCACTACCTAAACAATTTAATATACCTACATTGATTATAAAACATATTTTGGTCTTCGTATTTTAATTAAATTCATAATGGATTAATTCATGACATGAAAATGCAGCATGGTATTTTCTACAACTAAAGCAATAGTCATATGATTGTATTAAAAGTTAAATCAAGAATAATGGTTCCCTCACCTTGAAGTTATTGACCTCATCTCGTCGATTGTAACGGGCTGTGTTTTATAACGCTCTTTGTCACGAGGTTTAGGTTTAGATGTAGATGGCTGGTCGCGTAAGAACATATCCTTGGTTAAAGCTTGCTCCATAGACTTTATTCTGGACGCGATAGACGGAAACGTCTTAGGTTTGTTGTCATTTAGAATTTTGTTTTCCTCCCAAAGTTGACTTCTCACCTTCTCACAATTTTCGTCCACTTTCAGTCTACGATTGTTTAAAATTGAAAGTAGTTCATCGTTCACGTCACAAGCTAAACTCATAGATCTTGGGTTCACTTTTGGTCGTAGGTTTCTCCGACGTATAACAGCGCTTGGATAGCTTTCTTCTTGATCAGGGGCGATATTCAAAACTCGTCGCGGTCCCGCCGCGGTCGAATCGCCAATACCGCCAGTGAAATTTGTAACACAAATACTGGACTCGTTTTCAGCACAAAACGAAAGTCGTGGTCGCGGAGATTGGCTACGATCCCTGGTGAGGCTGGAACACCTCTGTTTCAGAATAGGCCTCACCGTCGCCTCACATTCCGAACCCGATTGATCAGATGTCTTTGATCTGAGGAGCGAAGGTCTACGTGAGCTTCTGTCGTCTTCGCTCAAATCGAAACTAGAAGCATGGCCTTCGTCGCCCGACAACTTTTTTGAGGTCTTGAGTATCGGTTTCTTAGGCATGTCGAAATCGTGATCATCATGCTCTGTTGACTTTTTCTTTAAAATTGGTTTAGGCGTCTCTGAAGGCAGAATGTCGGGGCACGGTCGTTCTTCAGAGAAACTTTTTTTCTTTAATATAGGCCTTACGATATCTTTTTCTTCTTCCACGATCTCTGCACCTCCCGCGGCAGCCAAGAGTACTGCTTGAGCAATGGAAACATGAGATGAAGTTGTACTGCTACTCGAGCTAGAATTTGATTTTCGTTTCAAAATACCATGAGGTTCTGGAGAGCTGTGCGATAAATCATCATTCGTGAGTTCCTCTTCCTTGCTAAGTTTTCTTTTAAGAATACCCTGAATTTGGCCATCTGGTGACCTGTTACGTACGACGTCTTCTAAAGATGATCGTCGATTCTTCAAAATCGGTTTATTAATATCAGAAGAACCGTTATCAGCAAAAGAAACTTCTGGACTGCACGATCGTCTTCTAGCAACTTGTGACTCATCCAAACTTCGCCGTTTTTTCAAAATGCCTTGTCTTTGACGATTTTCCGAACGGCACTGTTGTGGCTCAACCACATTAGGTGAAAAAGTAACAGGAGGTGAAGCAATAGCTTGGCTTGGGACACTAGTAATCGTGCTGTCATCATGTATAGATTTCCTCTTTAATATTGATACGGGTGTATGATAGGTCAACTGTGAATTATCAATACGGCGATTTTGACTAGATGCATCATTATTGAGATCAGAAAACATTGCACTTTGCTTTTCAAAATCGATGAGTCGTTGCGCTGCTGTATCGATGTCCTTTAATCTCTCAGTTACACCTCTATTATGTACTGGTCTATCATTTACAAGACCGTAATTGTATGTATGGTTATTATTTTGTTGTTCGGATGGCGATGCAAACAAAGAATCGTAGCTAGGCTCGTGTGTTTTTAAATTTAACTTATTACTAGTTAAGTTATTTGATAATTTGTTAACCCTATCTAAAGTTTGTTTCGTTAATGCAGCTAAACTGTCCATTTCTTGAGACAGTCTGGAATTATTTGTGTGGGATCGGACTGCTTCGTGCAGCGTGAACATTGTAAAATTATCTTCTTGACCGATTTCACCGCTTCCAGTAGAATCTGTTTTTGAATTTACTAAAGAGTCACCATTCAAGACCACGTTTGATGATTCGTTCTTAGCGTCATTCACCTGTTTTGAAAAAGTATCTAAGCTAGTCAGTCTTTTCTTTGAATAATGATATTTTTCACTAAGATTTTCATTCTCCTTTTGGGCCCGATGTCTTCGATCATTGCGATTATTATCACGATCACTCTTGGCTTTGTCCGGGCTTTTATATGGTGACTTTATTTTGAAGGAGTCTAGTCTAGATCTATTTTGTGATTTCGGGGTGGAGTCTTTGATCGACTCCTTTTTAACGGGCGACGTTGATGCACGTCTCACTTTTTCCGGCGATTTTTTGGACAAAGGAATGCAACTTGGTTTTGTACCAGATTCCGAAGTTCGACGTTTTTCGATAGTTTTATTACTGGATGAACTGGTCGGTGAAAACTTATTGGAAGTGTGCTTAATTCCAAATGATAAGTTGACGGTATGTTTAGGAGATATTTTGGAAGACGGTAATGAGCTTTCAGTCTTGGGGTGTGGTGCTTCGACGGATCTTCGGTTTCTTGTTTTCGTGACAGTTCCTGAAACAAAAAAAAATATTAAATTAAATAAACTCATGTATCAAAAATCAAAAATATATTTATCCACTCTGGCGCATTTTTATGAAACGTCAACCTTTTACATAAAAATTAATACGTTCGTAAGTAAGCTACCACCGTAAATATATAATAAGATCAGTTAAATGCACAGTCACAATATTAAACGGAAGTGGAAAAAACTATCCCACTTCGTGTTTGCTAGACCGTGAGCGTTTTATGCTAAACTACTAAAAATAAAGCATTGCCATTTTAATGAACAAAGCTTTTGTGCGAATGGAACTGTAACAGATGGTGAGATACGTCCACCCATAAATTTACAAATATAATTGTTTATACTTAAACAGTCTCAAAATAATAACAGTGACAGCGAATCGTTTTATACCGTGATGATTCATAAAATAAACAGACACATAATAATTTTCTCTTAAATCTGGAAGAATGTCGATATTGCAAACTTCGGATATATAATTACGCTTGGAGATCAAAATTAATAAATATCTACAGTTTCAAGCAGCCGCATGATCTGGAATCAAGTGCCGCATATCGAAGGTTGCGGTAAATGCGGTTACGGACCGCAACATGGACGGTATAATGATAACAAAACGCAGTCCGTTAGCCGAAACATTCATATCGTATAAAATAATATGAAGTACTAAAGGATCAGGGTTCAAAAACCTGACAAGCATACAGTTATATATATATATATTTATCCCCTGTAAAGCACAGTATAGGTATTCATGTAGGGTGTCCGTTTCTTTTGATATGGAACATCGTCTAGAATATCACTTCTATAAGTCGTCATTTTCGCATCGATGATCCATAAAAATAAAAGAAAATACAAGGTCAGGGTCAAAATAATCACGTATATATACAATAAGTAGTCATCGTCATTTCAAACAGGCGTGCAAAGAACCAAACTGAAGGTAAAGCTGAAAGAATAACGTTGCAAACAAATAGTGACATAGACCAACTTTCAGAGGCACAAAAAGCCTGCACACAAAAAATTGTATTACTGCTCCTCAATGTTAGTTTCATTTGAAGGCAGTAATTTGAAAGCTAATATGCCATTCTATTCTATTTTAATTTAACGATAAAACGTAAAAAGATCTCGGAGCTTAATGATTTCACAACCTAATGTTTATATTTGCTTTGTGTTAAAATTGACTCCATGTCATACGGTTCAAACAGACCAACATCAATTACCATTTCAAATTAGACTCCCGGTTATATTAATTACTTTGTGCTAATTTGTCATGACACAAGTAAAACCTTTTTAGTAACAAAAAGACAAAAACGACTTCATATATTTCACTCACTATCCATTTTTAATTTTGAGGAGTTCCCTGGTGTATCTTCGGAGTCCAAGGTCCAATACCAATGAAATGGGACCACATGGGAGCTAAACCAAACCCAATGCAAAAATAATAACACACGTAAAAAAAAACATACTAGCCAACATCATTTTTGAAGTCGGTAGAAAATATTTGTAACATATCCTGTTAGAGTATTTAAAATTGATATTGGTATTTTAAATTGAAACAAAGATTAACCACGTAGGATGCCTCTCAGAGCCATCGAGAAATGAATAAAACACATCGTGAATGGCTTGTTGAGATAGAAATTGATGTCTGAACATCAATCAAAAGTTTAATTAGCTGCCGTTGTTTTCAAATGTATTCCGTAGTCTGAAACAATGAAATTCCTATTTATATTGATTGGATTTGCCAGCTATACTCGATACTTTTTTTCGCATATGTTTGGGCATTGCAGCTGACGACGATTGGTTAATAACATTTTTCTGGAATTAAATATCGAAAAATGCAGTGAGCGAATTCAATTTTCGTAGACTATTAGTCATACTCATAGTCTACGGAAATTAAAGATTGTTTCAGATCAGAATGCTAAGGAACGAGATGCGACCCCACTGCGGACTGACAGACTGCAAGTATCTTTTTATTTCTGAGATACGGAGGTTTCCTCGCGTTATTATCCCACACCACAGAGCACATGGTAAAGCTGTCCTTAAAAGTTTAATCAAAAATTTTGCATGAATATACTGGAATAAAGCGAAATGCCTAGATCTATCTACGGTTCCGTAATAGTCCTTGTTACACATAGACATTTTTGAATTGTACAAAATATTGTGTTAAATCTATGCGACACAGAATAAGTTGGACGCTCTAAAGTAGTCTGTTATAGTTAAGCTATAAAAGCCTTGGTCGGAAATATCTTAGTAAAATTTTAAAGTATTTTTTTAGGAGACAATATGTTTCAGAAAAATTACAGCTGTTATTATTTTTTCCTTCAAATCATAAGAACGTTGCGTGTGTTCAAAATGAAACAATCAAATTATTATCCACTTAGCTTCTGACGTAGATCGTTAGGCGATGATATTCATTAAAGACTGTCGTTTAATAGGTGCTTACTTAATCACCTCCAACGATTTCAACAAAGCTATAATATCAAAACGCTTAACGAATAAAAAATAAACTAATAAAAAATATTATAGTGAATTTAGCAGAACTGCGGATATCGCAATTAGTTTTTATTTCCCCCCACCGAGCCGTTACACTACTGACTTACATTCCGCCCTAATTCATTGCTAGCTTTGACGTCACGGTGCACCAATTTATTTACTAAAAGCCGTTAAATGTCGCCGTTGACCGTTCAGGCGTCGTTCGATTTTGTTAACGGCATGCGCATTTTAAATAATAGCCGGTTGCTTTACGTTTTTACGAAGAACAACTAAAGGCAGGCAATTATGTCTGTTACAAAAAGCAGCTCTGATTCGTAAAACAAAAACATAATAAAAACCGGAATATCGGTTATATTTTTGGATTCTTTCTATAGATGAGATTTGATTAAAATCACAATTAGATTGTCGAGTTGTGAAGAAAGCAACTGTATAAACTAGATGTTATAAAATACGATTATTTGTATGAATTTAGCTATGATATGTTGCATGATTTCATAAGGGATCTAACGGGACGAGGGAACGGTAAATTAATTATTGGTACGGACATTTTATGTCATATCATAATGATTTGGAATATAAACAAAACATACAATAAAGGAAAACTTGAAACATGCGTAACCGGCAGGTCGAGAGAAACGGAATTAATTACAAAACGAGTATACATGGAATTAGTTGGAAATATCGTGCGCTTTTGAGATTTCATAGGATTAGGCAGCTGTTTCTAAAGATTTTATATTTTTAGAAATTGTTATATAAGTACAATATATATTTTATAATATGATATATTCCGATAATATCTTTCGTTTCATATTTGTTTTACCATCTGTTCGCCCAAGGAGACCACACTTTGCAACTTCGTAATATTGTCTGTGACACAGTTTCGAAACAATATGACGTTTTAGTTTCAACTCTGGGAAATCGCTTCAGCGATGTACTCTTTCCTATTTTCAGCATCAGAAAAAGAAATAAACTCTAAATCATAATAAAAATTTATAAAATTCTTAAAACATTTAAAAAAAATTATAAAGGTTTAATATACATTTTCGATTTAGGTAAAATATTTTTTCTGTTATAGTTTTAATAACATTAATATCATAATTAGAATAATTTACTCGTAAAATGTTTTGACAAATATTTAAGGCGTATAAGTCTCGTTCATTTTGTCTCAAGGTCAACAAACAAAAACGTACTCTCAGCCCCAATTTTTGCCTAAATGAAATTTCTAAGAACTCACTATATTTGTTGAATAAAAGCAATATTGCCCACGGCTAAGGCTTATTCAAGCAAGTAATTACTTGTGACTGTAGAATTAGAAAACTGTGACCAGTAAGCATTAAATTGCTCCAATAAATTATAGGAAAATTTATTACTTATTTCTTTTTACTATGGAAGAATAATTACTTCTGTTTCCCACATGGAAGTAATTATTTAAAACACTGCTAACTATTTTTGTACAATAGACCATCTTAACAGATATTTAAAAAACATGATGAATTTAGACTTAATTTTTTATTCGATGAATTGAACGTTCATAATATTAGCAGCAAGCTAAACTACGCCCACTT